TGTGTTTCTGTTAAAGAAGAACCCCGGGTAAAATTGTTCTAAACCCTTGCAGTGGAGCTACCCCTGCATTGCAAGAGTTAACTGCTTGTTTTTGTCTAGGGACTAAAATAAAAAAAACGTATACGCCCCCAATCCTCAGAGCTGGTTTTGCTCTTCGATCGGTCCTTGGAACCTCTCTCCCCCTCTGCTGCAACGGTCTAAGAAATCTTGGTCAACGCATCCAATACATTGGCGGGAATTTATCAAAACTGGAACACAAAAAAACCCGGAGCAGCTGTGCATGGCAACCAATCAGCTTCTGTCTTCAGTCTGTTCAGTTAAAATTTGAAAATGAAAGAGATGCTGATTGGTTGCCATGCACAGCTGCTCCAGTTTTTATCTGCTCCAGTTTTGATAACCCCCCCCCCCCCTTGTATTTTGTGAACGGTTCCCAGAATACAAGGCATTCTGTGAACCATTCATGTTCGGGTGAGTATAACTTTTTTATTTTAGTCCCTAGACGAAAACAAGCAGTTAAGCCTTGCAGTGTGGGGGTAGCATCACTACAAGGGTTTATACATTTCTTTGCCAGGGGTTCTTTTTAATAGATTTAGCAGAACATTTCCAAATCAATCCTGGATTTGAAATATTTGAGAAATGTTTCTGCTTGTTTAGGAGAAATCATAATATTGAATATAATAACTGCAATAAGTTCATATACTAAAATAAAATGTAGTTCATCAATGGTTGACATGTATTGTTACAGGTTTTACACCTTTATGCAATATGCACGTATATTGCATATGCTTTTTTTCCCCAATCAGCCCATTTTACATCCTTTATGCGTCTCTTTGGCTTATTCTGTCCAGTTTTAAGTTTTGTCTGAAACACATAAACCAAAGTGAACCTGTCAGACATTTTAAACTTTCACACAGGCTCTGTTAAGGTGCCCATACGCCTTGCAATCATCGGACAAAAAGGTGCGTCCGGTGATCGAACCGTTCGTACGGCAGCCCCATCCTGCCCCCGACCTTCGCACAGTTCAATCAGTGGTAGTTAGAAGAAAGCACCTGGACAAATTGCGGTAATCGGATTTTCGTTTGCGCAGGTGCAGTGTTAATCATATAAATTTTGACGGAAACGCCACCAACCTTGCGGAAATCGTGCGATCGACCGGAGTTTTCTAGCATGCTGGTAAGACGAACGTCGTACAATTGTACAGTATTTGCGGTTGTACACTGCCCATCAACCTTACGAATATTGGACGAAAACACTTTTGCAATTCAAAATCGGCCGATATTCGTAAGGTGTATGGGCACCTTTAGGTTCATGCTATCCCTCTAGATAAGCATCATGTGTGCCCCTATGATCCTAGTTTCCCTTTGTTTTTAAGCACTTGACTTCCCCACATTTGATGCTAAGCTCTATCCCTATAGCCATAAAAAACAAGCAATTCTACCCCCCTGCCCATTGACAGTGCACTCTCTTTTGTCCATGTGACACTACATAGGAAAAGCTTAGATTCAGGGGAAAGGCTTAAGGTGCCCACACACTGCACGATTCTCGTACGAGAATTGCAGGAAATCCCGCGATCGTACGATAATCGTACAGTGTATGGAAGGCGTGCGACCGTTTCTACTGTGCGGTCGCGTGTCTTCCGTCGAACAAGCATGCTGGAAAACCCGCCGGGAATCGGACGATTCTCGGCGAGTTAGTGGCCTGCTTGTTCGACAACTGCCGAACAGTCCGGTGTGCGCACGCGCACACTGCCCGTTTGCAGTCATCGGAAGCCCGCCCCTCATTGCAGTCATCAAGTACGATCTGCCTGTCCAAGATGGGCAGATTGTACGTTTTTTTAAGTACTTTAAAAAAGTCTTGCGAGGGTTGTTAAGTGTATGGCCACCCTTAGCCACAAAGTCCAGAAAAGTTAAGCTTGTAGCATCTGCAATGCACCTGGCAATCATATATACTTAGTCGAAATGTGTGTGCACCTTCTAACTGTCACAGGCTAATTAATTTTCAAGGAATGTTAAGTATAACCCTAGATTTGTCTGTACATGAACAAACACTTTAGGCTTAATTCATAAATTTAAAGCACCAGGATAAGGATCTTCGTTTAAAAAGAAAAAAAGAGGAAATTACTTTCAGCACAGTCCAATGAGATCTGAAAATTACAGTCACATGGCTGAAAATAAAAAGCCGTATTTCTTGTGTCAAAAATTGAGCCCATTGTAATATACAGTGAAGGGAATTCATCAAAACCGGAGCAGAGAAAACCTGGAGCAGCTGTGCATCGCAACCAATCGTCTTCTCTCTTTCATTTTCAAATCTTCAGTGAACAAACTGAAGTATAAAGCTGATTGGTTGCCCGGGGCAACTGCTCCAGATTCTGCCTGCTCCAGTTTTGATAAATCCCCCCCCCCCCCCCCAAACAGTCTCATGATTTATCCAAAACTGCCTTTTTTAATTTCAATTTATTTTAATAATTCATCTAATTTTAGAGCATATTTGCAAAGTTTGTAATATTCATCCATTAAAACTCCAAAACCTAATTTTTTTCTTAGTTTTAATAGGATAGGGAAAGAATAGAACTTGTCCGTTTGCCCTCTTTAAAAGATTTCCCCTCACTTCCTGCGCAAGTGCCCAAACACTGACACCAATAAAAATCAAAGGTTTTAGCCCCTACGCACTCTATCCAAAACTAAGGGGGAAAAAAAGTTTGATTGGAGTATAGTCTCCGCCCTTGAGGAGTTTGCAGTCAAATATTCCTACCACATTAAGAACTAGTTTAGCTAGAACATGTTTAGATCCTGGAAACGAGTGCTCCAGGAGAAAACCCAAACACACACCCCATTCAACAACCAAAAATTATAGCTCTCATGGGCAGGGCCCTTCTTACTATTTTGTCTTGATTTGTATAGTAATTGTAATGTCTTCCTTATATTGTAAAGCGCTCCGCAAACTGTTGGTGCTATATAAATCCTGTATAATAATAATAATAATTACTTTTCAATCTTTTTTTTTTTTAATCCAAAACAAATTATTTTGCACAAAAAAGGTAATATTTCTTGCACAAGTTAAATTATTTTTAGCTCAACTGCTATACATGACTAAAATAAATAAAAGATATAATATATTTATGTTTGTAATATACAAATATATAACATTAGATGTCCACTCGTTGCCGACGCCAAGTCAGCTTGAAAGTTACAAAGTTGGCTTCCTGAAACAACTTTGTAAACAAGCTGCCTTTTTTCTTTTGTATTTCTACAAAGACAAATGAGATATAAATACATTTTTCTCCTACACTTGGAGGGGTGATTTGCTGAACAGAAATGTGTGCCAGTTATCCAGCAGGCCTTTTTTTTATGACACCCCACCACACTGATAGCTTATGCAATATATGTTTTAAAAAAAATGTAAATGGTATTGGAGAATTTCCATTTTGTTCAGTACGACCTTCCTTGGACTTTGATGCACCTTTAAAAACATAAACACATAAAAGTTTTCAGTAACACAAGTACAACAACCGGCATCCAAGAGCGAGCCGTCCGTCCGTTTATATACAACGGGCGGACACCAAGCAGTTGATTTGCATGTCCAATCAGAGTTCTCAATGTCATTGTTTTTAGTTTTGGATCTGAACCCCTGTCGAGTTTTTATAGGCTTCCTCATGTTCTGTCCTGCTTAATATTACTAATTACTAATATTAGTCAATTTTACCAGACAGGAAGTTGAGGAAACCTTTAATAAAAGGTTAGAGGGTTTCTAGCCTACCCCTATTATCCTTAAAAAAAAAAGGATTTTTATTTATTTCTTTGTTGCTTTTGGGCATTTTTTCTCACTTCCTGTTTGGTTGTCACCGACACAGTATTTGACGGGAATCTCTCTAATAGAGCCCCAGGAAGAAATTAAAAAAAAGTTCTATTTCTTCTTCCACTGTATTGAAAACAAGAAAACAAAAAAAAAAATATTGGCCGGTTAAACACTCCAATGTAAAGTGTTAGCCACAATGCCAAAATTGCCAGTCTGAGTGGCACATACAGACCTCCAGGTAGGTGAGTTTAGGTGGTCACATCTCTGCCCCCGCTAATAACAATACAGCGCTGTCCACAAGGAAATATGTATGTAAAAAAAAATGTCCATCTTATATTTGGCAATTTTTTTCAGAGGGGGGTTGTAAAGTACATACCGTTGGGGGAATTTATAAAAACAGGAGCAGACAAAATCTTGAGCAGCTGTGCATGGCAACCAATCAGCTTTTCTCTTCAGTTTGTTCAGGTAAGATTTCAAAATAAAAGAGAGAAGCTGATTGGTTGCCATGCATAGCTGCTCCAGATTTTGTCTGCTCCAGTCTTGATAAATTCCCCTTAGTATCATTTATGTTCGCTTCTCTGGTGCCCTAAACAACAATAAGTCACAGTCAACAAACATGCACATCTCTATGAAGACATGCTGGAAAGTTAGTTGGCTCCTGTCTAAGGCCAGATTCACACCTAGGCGATAGAGCTTGGTGATTGTCGTGCGTCTTGTTTACTCGATTTTGCCTCAAAAACCATACAGTTTTCAATTCATAGAGATGTCTATGTGACCTAAACCGTGCGACAACCTGGCAAAAATAGCTATTGCACCTTTTTGCGCGACAGGCGATTTAGACGCAAAGCGAAGGTGTGAACAGCCTCAATTGACTTACATGCAGATCCCTGTTTTGTGTGACATCGCGCGACTAAATCCATGTGATAAATCACCTTGGTGTGCACCAGGCCTTAACCGGCCCTGTATGTGTGTGCAATAGGGACCTTAGATTGTGAGCTCTTTCAGGACAGGGACAGCATACAATAAATGAGTCATGTCACACAAGAGAACAAATTTACTTTTGATTGTGACTCTTGAAATCTCCCAAAAAGTTTTAAAAGCAACTTTTTATTTACTTCCTTTTTGCAAGACAGTTTGATACAGTTGCAACAACGTGTGTTCTTTACGCGTTACAATTCCGATAAGAAAATAATCATAATGTTGCTAATCATAATAATAACGCAAGTCGAGATAATAAGAAACAATGGCAATAAAATGTTCCGCAGCCGCCTGTAATTCCAGTGGTGTGAGAACAGAAGGCTGTCATCATCGTCTCCAGCTGTTTCCAATTGCTCCAGCACACAGACTTTACAGAAGTTGTGTCCAGCAGAGGAGCCCATACACTCCCGGCTGTGTGCATGCTCTCCCAGCCGCCTGCTCTCAGTTGCTGTCACACAGCGAGGCAGGTACAGCTTCACAGCAGACATGTGAGTTGAGCCAGTTACTCATTTGCCGGAGTGTTTGTGTTTATGCAAAAGGGGCCTCTTCCTGCATATTTAATCTAGAGTAAGGCAGTGGCTTTTGTTGTGTTTAGACCACATGCCTTTAGTCCTTCCGTACACTGAGGCTTGTGCGAAAGCACACACACAGCCAAGGACAGTAACTTTTCTCCCCTCTGGTGGATTTAAAGTCCGCTCTTTGTGCACTCTTTTCACGCCGCTGTGCACTCTTTTCACGCTGCGGTGCACTGGCAGTCAAACCTCGGTCTCTGACTCTGCTCATGAATGGGTAAGTTTTGCCTTCACTTTTTTTTTTTTTACCCTCATTACTTTTGTCTTTGGCTGGAGCGTGCTGTACCTTTGTCCTGTGCGCCCAGGGCTTTCGTAACACGTCACTTAAGCTCCACTTTGCATACAATCGCATGCAGGACCTTTTGCTGTGGCCAACTTTATTGTGTAAAAGTCTTCCAAGATTCATAATGTATACTTGTTTCTGGTATGCTTTCATTGTTTGCAGGCTCAGGACGGTGGAGACTGTTGCTGAGCCACCCCTGGGAAAATCAGAAGCTCCTTGTATGAAGAGCGAGCTGTCTTCTCATTGGTATCAGCTTCATGTCAGGCACGGGAGTCTATGGCAGAGATCACAGAGGTTGAACAATTGGCAGTGAGAGATTTCTAGGTGAAGCTTTGACAGCCCCCTTCCCCTGCAGCTGGCGAAAAGGCACCGTGGAAGAGTGGGCTTGTCTGAAAGGCACACACGTTAACCCTTCCGCAGTCAAGGGAAGAGAGAAAGGGAAATATCAGCACCGCCTGGTCCCTTAAAACCATTTGCTCCAGAGGTGCATAACTTGACGTGGAGCAGCTTCGCTCAAGTTTCGAATAGCATCTGAGTTTTGTTAAGAGCAGCTATCTGAAGGGTTTTAGTTATTGCAACGGTGGTGTTTCAGTTACTGATGGAGTCTGGAGGGTTGAGTTAAGCACTGGAGATTAGTAGCAAGACCCCCCACAATGGTCCCCAGCTCTATTCACGCCCCCTTCGGGTTTCACTCCCCCTGCGATAACAGAGGTATTCCTGATGCCTTCTCCATAATATAAATTAAAATTACAATCCAACAAGGAACATCGGACCTCTCGCCCCCCCCC